TGGTCTAGCCTGGATGACCAGGTATAGCAGGACAGCAACACGTTTCCCTGCAAGACACAGATGCGGCAACTGAGAGCTAAAAGAGGGCTGGTGGACTGAGTGTCTGCATTATTGTTCCAGTCTCACTCCTGCCTAAGGCCCTAAGCCACACCTAACCCTGACAACAGGTCAGCATTCACCCTGGTCTTGACTTTCAAGTACTCCCTGGCCTGGGCTGGGGACCCAAGTCCACTCCTTCCTCCTCTACCTGACCACTGGAGGCAGGGCCTCCTCTTCATCAACAAACCCTCCCAATCGTATCACTCTGCTAGTGTGGCTACCTGTTACCATGTGTTTACAAGTTTCTACCGCGCTCCATTCATCGAGAAAACATTCTTCTGTAAGTCCAAAGAAAGAGTTCAGGGAACTGGATATCTGGGCACAAGAGGCCTGCCCTTCCTACTCTCACCAAACCTCAAGTGGGTCTCTGCCAAGTTCCCCACATGTCCCAATCACGGACACAATAGGGACACAAGGCCACACAAGCTGTGAATGGAAACACAGAGGTGGGGGTCCCTGCATGGTTTCAGTGGAGGGGTGAAACATCCACCAAAGGAGGGGTAATTGCATCTTGGCAGAGGAGCAGCCCTTTGGCTGAAGGTCCAGCTCACTAGGGACTTCACCCCAAGTCTACAACAAGAGTCACCACCTCTCTCCTGGTATTCTCCAGCCCAGTTCCTCCCACATGCTCCAGTATGTGGTTAGCAAGTCAGGGAACCATGTGAAAATCGGGTCAAATCTCCCTGGAAAATTCTGCAGGCAGGTGCTGCTTTGTTATTGCTATGTTGCTGCCCATAATCTGCTGGGGAGGGTCCACAGCCCACCACAGCTCCACACTTGACATGGGACACTTTGACTGCCATTAATATTACATGTGGGTGGAAGGTGGTGGCTGCCATCGTGAAAGTTCTTTGAGCAGACACCCTCCACCCCCACAACCCCCACAAGTACCAGAATAAGAGTAAAACACCTGCCCCTCTGGACAAAGCATTCCTAGGTGGCTCAGGCACCCCTTACCCTCACCCTTGGCACAGAAAGCTCTCTACAAGTTAGGTGTCATCACACATAGCTTTCAAGGCCCAAGGAAGTGGGTATGTGGGAGTGCCTGCAGCCTGAGATCAGATGAGCTCTTAGAACTGCTGGTGGGCCAGCCCAGAATGAGTGGAGGCCAGGATCCATGCGACCTCGGGTTGGGTGGGTGAGCTCACACCAGGACCACATGGTTGGCCTGAGGCACAGCTTTCTCGGCTGTAGCAAGAAGGATGGGATCTCTGAGGTCAGTGTCCACAGGTTAACCAGTCAGCAAGGAAAGAAAAACTTTAATTTCCCAATTAGCATTCCAAATCTTCTCTTCCCTCCAGCAGTAAACTAAACCAACCATGTCCAAGAAATTAACATCTTTCTCTCCATATTTTCATTTCAGCTGTTTTGCTAACCAGTGAATCTTTGCAACAGTGCAAATGGACCATCAAAAACTGACTGGCCTCCCATATCAGGTGGGAGGGGGGCTACAGGAAGCAGTGGGGGGTGGGACAGTGAGCATGAAGGGCAGGCTCTAGTGTTTGCAGAGCTGCTCTGAGATGTAGGAGCTGACCACTCCACGGTTCTCACTCTCAGATGTCCTCGAGCCCTCCCCACTGAGAAAACCCTAAAACCAAATACACAGCTATCAAATTGATTCTGACTAGCAACCCAATATTTAAGCCACTGCAGCACAGGGGCCCCTCTCCACCGAGAGCAGGACCCAGAAGTGGGAAGCACTTGTAGGCTACAAGTCACAGCACCTCTTCTGGGACCCCAGAAAACGCCTGCTTGCCCTCCCTGGTTCTCAGTGGCCAGCCCTCCAACCCATTTTCATGATCTAAGGGCCCTGGGACCACCTGGCCCCTGACCGTGTCAAGAGGGCCCTTCGAGGGATTGAGCTATGTAGGGAGTCATAAGCAGTCAAAGGAGGTGTCAGCTACCACATAGTTCTTCCTATGAGCTCTTCCCTGACCCACCTCTGGCTTCAAAGAAGAGCCCCAGTACCAGCAACAGCCCCCTCTGAAGACGCTGGAGCAGGCAGGCCTGCGGAAGAGGCCACCCCTCTCCCAGACTGGCCTGGAGCATGTGGCACCCTGATCTGTGGCACGCCTCTGTCCTGAGGGGCCCCAGTATAGGCTATACCCAGACCTTGGGAACAGTCAGTGAGATGTGCCCAGCCCCCACAGTTCCACCCTAAAGCTCTGCAAATGCATTTTACTCTGTAACAAGAAAGCACCACACTGCTGCCTGTGAATGGAACACTGCATACAAAATAGTAATTTATGAAAGGAAAGACAGTAATTGGGTCTGCCAAGGCTCTTTTCAATCAAGCTCTTAATTCTCCTTACAAAGCCCTGTTTTTGAGTGGGCCTCTTTGGGGGGGCCCCCCCATTGCCCCTGAGCACTACCACCTCCCTACATCAACACCATGCTATCATAAACTGGGCTTCATGCTGGGCCATAGATGGTGCTGGCCTTCAACTTTGAGTTTAGAAACCATGGAGGTTTGGTAGGGGATAGAGGAGGACAGATCTGGAAGACAGAGCCATGGCCAGACTAGGCCAAAGGGCCATCTCCACCCCCGCCCTTTCTAACACAATACACCGAGAATGAAGAGGCTGCCTCTCCCCATCCAGCAGCTTCATGGAGCTTCAGACGAGAGACAGGTTGGCCAACTAGGTACTCCCCTCCGCTGTGATGTCCTGCCTGGAAGCCTGCCACCTCCAGTGGCCCTCCTAGCTCAACTCAGGCCGAGCCTCCTCCTGGAGCTCCCTCCTATTCTCCCACCCCAGGGGTACCCCCATGACTTCACTAAGGGAATGTCATGCCCATGGGGCAGGGACTCTCCCTCACAGCCCAGCCTCTGAGGCCTGCACCCCTTCATGGTCAGGGAATGCCTCTTTCAGAATCATGGGAGGGGGCAGGTGGGGAGCATAGCAAAGCTCAGCTTCCAGGATCAGACACAGGAGATTCTGGCCCTGGCTCTAGCACATTGTGGCCTTGGGCAAAGCAAGACCATAGTCTCCCCATCTAAGCAGTGGGAATCTGCTCCAGTCAAAGGACTAGAGGAGACCGTGGCTAGGGAGAGAGAGCTGGAGGAATTGTCATTTCTCATCGGCACTGGTAGAGGACAGGGAGGTCCCGCCCTACCCCCTCTGCTGTCAGATTCATACAGATGCACAAAGCTTATCAAGGTTTCTTCTTGAAGAAAAAAAAAAAATCATCCCATTGCTTAAAACAAAACTGAAAGCCTACAATTTAGAAGTTAACCCAGGGACCATCATGAGAGAAATGAGCAAAGCTCACACAGGCTTAACCCAGTTCTCTCAGAACAGATGACTGGGGCTGGGCAAGCTGGGGATGATCAGACCCACATCTTCAGTGCTCACCCACACCACTGGGAAGCCCCATTCACACTCCGAAGCAGGGCTTAGAGGCAGAAACCACAGCCACAGACCAGAGTGCTTTGGTGACCAGTCTAATGGTGGTGTCGGTCACAGTGCGCAGGGCGCTCTCCCTGGCCCAGTGCCCATGGTCGGTGCTCCCCTCTAGCTAGTTCAAAGCTGACCGTCACAGTCTATGGGAGCGTGAGGAGCGGCAGGCAGTACTTCCCAGGATTGGGGCACTCTGAGCTCTCACTCATAGAGGTCCCATCACCTCCCCTCTCTCTCACAGCTTGGGTTTTGCACCTATAAATCTTGCCACAATTCCTTGGAACCAAAATAAAAAGGCCCTTTGAGGGCCACAGATCTTATTTCAAGGTATAGTCTAGCTTGGCCCCAAATGTCCCTAATTTAGCTGTTGATTAGGGACATTCACAAGGAGGAGGCTTGATTCTGCATTCTCTGGAAGGCAGAAAAGCCTTCCTGAGCGCTATGGGCCCCATCAGGGTTAAACATTCCACTGTAGTAAGATGTCAATAACCCAGAACCCGAGCACACAGTGGGATGTTCCTCATGCTGTTTTAAAGGAACCTAGCTAGTGAAGAGGAAGAAAGAACTCAGACACCTGCCAGGAACCCCTGCCCATCCTGCCTTCTGCTGTGCCCTGCCTCAGACATGGCAAGCCCTCAGGCTCCTTCCATGGCTCCACAAGGAATCTCCCCTTAATCCTGCCCCCTTGGGTGTCACCTCCACGTCCGGAGGCCAGGAGCACAACAGAGCAAGCGATATGCTCTCCTGCCTGGGCCCACATCCAGGAGCTCCACCATCTTCCAGCAGGCCTTCCCTCAGTCAGCTCCACAGAACCAGTGTCTATGCACAACACGATTCGCCTGGCACCACCACTGAGTTAGCTCCGGCCACCAGCCTTCTCGAGCAGCCACCTGGTCTCTGAGACACAGGGTAACTGCTTGTCCATCACCCGGGCCTCTCCACATGACCAAATCAATCCAGCCCCAGCCAGGCAGGGCTCGAAGACCCACTTCCACGGAAGCTCCACCCCATGTTCAACATCTGTATGTCCCAAACCCCACTCCCTGTAGACCATGGGAAGAGCAGCCAGCTGCCCACCCCCTTGATGAGTCAAGAAAGGGATGAGAACGAGTTTTTATCCTGGTTTGGCTCCAGTCTTCTTGTGGAAGAGCAGGGTCATTCTTCCCAAACACTCACCTGCTCAGGCCCAGCACTGAGTACAGGCTCGCTCTGCCCTACACAGAGGACATGCCCACGCTCCAAGCCCACCCCACGCTCCACTGGTAGGAGGCCCTAAACCTGTGCTCGCCTGCTGATAGCTGGTAGGAATGCCCTAACTCGGGAGGTACCCAGCAGCTCATGGCCTATCCTCAATATGCCCTCCCCTCCCCGCACCTATGCCCACTTCACCCAACAGTCACTCTACTCAAGCCACCCAGTGAAGGGAAAGCCAGGCAAGGAGGGTGCTATGTGAAGGGCAGCAGCCTACCCAACCATGGAGCCAGGCTTCCATGTGGGATCTACCTGTTGGGGTTGTACTCGAGTCCGCCGACCTCCTCGCTGGCCTGCAGCAGGTCAAGGATGCCTGTGGCTGAGCTCCCACTCTCCTTTCTGGCTTTTGCATTGCGGCTGGGCTTGGCGTCCGTGTCAATGTGCAGAGAATCTTCGTCTGAGGAGTCATCACTCTGCTGTGGGGACCACCACAAAGGGACAAACAGGTCAGAGAGAGAACCTGGGAGAGAGTGAATTGTTCATTCCCTTCAGGGAGGAAACAGGTATTCGTGAAGTTTTAAAGAAACACTGTTGGGTGCTGATGCTGAGCGTGGTGGATCAGGCCATGGGCCAGAGGTGATCACGGATGGTCGAGGCCAAGGCCAGAGAGAACCACATTCTCACACCTGTGCTGTTCATAGCTGAGGGGGCCTGAGTTCAAAGACACTCTCACATTGTGTGTTGCTATTGTTGTTAGCCACTGACTTGGTGACTCCCCAACACATAACACAATGCTGCCTGGTCTTATGGCATTCCCATGATCAACGGTCTTATCAGACCATTATCCATCAGGTTCTTCTTGTCTGATTTCCGGAAGTCGATCACATCTTACTTACTTAGTCTGGAAACTCCAGTGAAACTGGTTCAACACCACTGCAGCACACAAGCCTCCATGAGGTGCAGAGTCCCAGTGAGTTGCACAGACCAAGAGAAGCTGATGTGTGTGGATGGGAAGGGAGCAGAATGTCCCTGAAGGCCTCTCAGGGCCTCTACAGCCCTAAGATCTGAAGATCTTCATTTGACAAACCCTCATCTAAAGAACCCTTCAAGAGCATCTACATATAACCCCCTCCCTGGGGGACGGACAGCAGAAAAGTGGGTGACGGTAGACGTCGGACAGTGTAACACATGACAAAATAATAATAATTTATAAATTATCAAGGTCTTATGAGGGAGGGAGCAGGGAGGGAGGGGAAAAATGAGCTGATACCAAGGGCTCAAGTAGAAAGAAAATGTTTTGAGAATGATGATGGCAACATATGTACAACTTGTGCTTGACACAATGGATGGATGGATGGATTGTGGTTAGAGTTGTATGAGTCCCTAATAAAATGATTTTAAAAAAAAAAAGCATCACAGGTGACATTGCTGGTCATTTTCCTTCCAGGGCTTCGCAGGGAATGTGACCCCCAGACCAGGGACAGCAGTTTTTGCCCTGGCTTTCTAAAAGACAGTCACCAAATCTCAGACTGGAAGTAAGACCTCGATTGCAAGACCCCGCTAATATGTCTGACCCCTGCTTTCCCTTTAGCCTCCATCCTGTGGGCAAGATTTCTTGCTGTATCACAGACCTTGATGTTTGCACCTCCATGGACTCAGAAGCCTCGGTGGTGCCTTGTAGGCCTGCCACACAGTCCCAAGCACACCCACCCCAGTTACCCAGGATTGTAATGGCGAAAACCCAAAGGGACACACAGGGTGACAAGGGCTGTCCATGCCCAATCCAGAGCTGTGTGCCATGATCCTCCTCCACTGAAACGTACAAGGCAAGGCGGAGGGTCCTCTCCCTCTCCCACCACATGACACATCATTAACACAGAACACCCAGCCAGAGATGATGAGGCAAGGCCCCGAGCCTGGGGAAGGCTGAGAGATGGGTGCCTGGAGAGGCCTCGAGGAGCACACCCCCTTGTGGACAGTGACCCACCTTGTAAAACATTGAGTCAAGCTTTGGCTTCTTAACGGGTACGTGGAACATCTCTTTCTTATCCAATAAAACTGAAACAAGAGCAGACAGAAACCTAGCGGCACTACACCGGAAAGTGCACAGGTTTTCCAGTAGCCTCGCTGCCACACCGGCCCCAGCACTAATTCGTCTCCCGTGGGCTGGGCACAAAACCAACGGGGGCAAAACTCACAAGATAAGTCCCTCTTGGAAGTGTTCCTTTTCCTCCTGATGGGGAACTCATCGATCTTCAGCTCCCCGTCGTCAGACACATATTCGTACTCATCCCGCACCGGCTTGGGCTTGTCCTCTTTGAAGTTCTGCAGGGCCCCAAACACGCCAGGGCTCGTCTGTGGTTTGAGGCCCTTGGAGCTAAGGCAGCAAAGGTCAGCTGGGGTCATTCAGATGTCATTTTGTCTGACCCTGGCTCATGAGGCCAGGTAATGTAACTCTCGGGGAGGGAAAGGCCATGGCCTGAGGCCGCTGGGAAACCAGGGCAGGGTGGGGACTCCCCGAGGCTGAGATCCCCTTCCCCAGTACTACAGCCCCAGGTGAGGACAAAATACAACTCAGGTAGCGCCTGCCTGTGCTGTCTAGGAGCTTGAGCAAGGGTCCTACCAACTGTTGGGGGCCTGTGAGGCCCAGTGAGGCTTGATGTGTGCTGATATCAGACCAAATGGCCAGAGTGAACAAGCATGGGTTTTCCTGTACTTATTTTGGAAAAACAATTCCAGAACCAGTGTAGACAATCCTTCCTGAGGAAGAGCAGACCAGGGCTTGAAGGAGCCCCTCCTACACATGCTCTGGTCAGGAATGACAATGGCCCCACCTGGGCAGCCTGTCAGATGGCTTCCTTCTCTTCTCCAGAGGATGGCAGACCACAGAGAAATTCTGGGGTTTCAAATGGGGATGGCCCTAGATCTGAACAAGAAATGAGGGACAAAGTCTGAAGAGGGTGCTGGACTGAGCTGCCTCCAACACTCTCAAAGAGAAGGCCCAAGGCAGGCATTGCCACACTAAAGTCATGAGAAACAGGAGTAACACGTGACATGCACATGCAAATACATATTGCTAAACTGCTGTGTTCTTTCCTCTCCTCTCTTTTCTAGACTCGCTACAGCACAGTGCTAACGGATACGGTTCAAAGGCTCCTCGGCGCCTAGGCACTGAGATTCAGGGACATCCAGGCTAAGGCTCTGAAATCAACAACAATAGCTATGGGTGCAATACAGACCACTTGCCTCAGTCTGCCGTGTGCTCAGGCAGACAGGGGTGGGTGTTCTCCATCTTTCACTCTCAACCAGGACACAGGGGCTCATCCAATCTTCTTAGAGATGAGGACACTGAGACCCTGTCAAATCCATTCTTGTCCATTACAGAGAGGGGCTGGAATCTTCTACCAGTGATGTGTCTGAGCACTAACCCCTTCCAAAGCATGACGTCCTGATGCCTGCTTGGCGGGCTGCAGTGCCAGCCAGGTCTGCACTCCTCCTAGCCGGTAGTTGCAATGTACTTGTGAACAGATACAGGCCCATCCTATTGTTTCTCATCTCTGAGGACCTGCCCACTCACAGGCCTCCACAGCCCCTTTCCCTTCTCAGAGCCTCAGGCTGCTGCCCTAAGGCCAGCTCTTCTAGGACCTCCAGACCGTCCATGTGTGCCAGAGCTCCCAGGCTGGGGACCCTCTCCTAGCCCAGCCCCCAGCCCCGAAACCTTTTACCCTTTCAATGTAACCCTTCCTGATTTCTAGATGAGCCAGCCATGGACACAGGTCCCAGGGACTGAGGACACATTCCATCAACACTTTACATGGTAGGTGAGAGCAGTGGTTCAAAACCAGCCCTCCCCATTAACCATAGGACTCCAACCCCCACTCGGTTCATATCTCCAGAGTCAATGAATGCTTCACCCTCTCTACTGGCCTCGGCTGCACCATGCTTCGTCCTCCAGTGTCTGTCCACACTCCTACGCTCTCCAGACCACATGCTTTATGAGGTCTACCTGATCTATGTGCCCAGGACAGAGGATGCTCAGCATAGTGTAGCTTTCAGTGACTACCAGCTGAAACAGGAATGGGGGACTCTCATCAAAGAAAACCTCTATAAAGATGTGTGCAGTGTGGTGCTTAGTTTGGTATGTGTGATTAGCAAGGAGTGTGGTATGCAGACATTTGCACTATGTAGTGGGGTGATGTGTGTGTGTAAATGGTGGTTAGGTGTACATGCGATACATGCATGGAGTATGTTGTATGCTGTAAATGTGTGAGTGCAGCATGTGTGATGTGTACACAATATGAATGTAGTATTTGCATATATAGTATACATATATGAGGTGTGTGGTATATGTACAAGGCATATTTGAGGTATGAGTGTGCAATGTATGTATAGTGTGCATCTTTCCTTAGGCACCCATTTACATACCCCAGGAGTTTCTTGTTAGAGAAGGAAAATGAAAATTTGTTGTCCTTGCTTCCTGACAGAGGAGACTTCTCCAGTTTCTGCTCCTCCTCCATTTTCAGCAAGGAGTCTGGTTTGCTGTTCTAAAAGGTAATAACAGGAACATCACTGAGCCCCATGCTAGCAGGACAGGTGGGGCCTTGGCTGGGGCTCAGAGAAATGCCAGGAGAGTATATGTGAGATTCATACACACTCCCAAGCTTCCACCTCTCTCACACCCCTATTTCTCATGGGCGAAGGCAATGAGCCAGGCTACCCCAGATGCAGCCAGAATACGTCGCAGGAAGGCTCCTATGAGGGGTCTGTGTATACCTACCTCCCCTCACCCAGTACCCACACGGTAGCCCCAGGAACTGTCACCCAACACAGTGTGAGCTTAGCCAGGGAGGCCGAGGTTTAAGGTAAGTTTCCATCAACTCAGCGGAATTGGTGTTCTCAACATCTCAATGCTGTAATGTATTCATGCGGATCCCAGGGTAAACCACAACCCATCAGGAGGCATCTCACCCCATATACACCGTCACTGACCCACAGACCCACCTCACATGTATGTGAGATACACACACACACACACACACACACACACACACACTCCCAATCTTCCACCCCGCCCACCTCCCTTCCCACAGACCGCACACATTCAGACACACCACCTAAAATCGACCTCTCCACCCTCCCTCATCCCCTGCCTTCCCTCACCAGTACCCCATTCTCATCAGTATGGACTGATCTGCATGTGTGTACCCACAGATGCACAAGTGTGCATGAATACACACAGACATGCACGCTTCACCTTGTACTTCCACTTGGCCTCCGACTTGCTTTTGGTTTGTTCTCGTATTTCCAACCTGTCCACGTCATTTTGCTTATTAGTCAGATCCTTATTTGGCACGCTGAGGACACTCTTGGCCACCTAAAGAATACAGCAACCATAGCACAGAGGTGGACACAAGAAGCGTGGCTCCCTCCCGCTAGAATATCATGTTGGGTCATTCATCCTCCTTGGCTTGAGAAACAGAAAGCAATATGCTCACTGCAGCCCTGTGGTTCGTGTCCTGGCAGGGCCACCAGTCCCAGGGGAGGTGATAACTGCTTCCTCCCAGCAGGCTTCTATCTGGAGTATTGCACCCATCTTGGTTGTGTCAGCCCTGAGGCCTCTTCCGAAGTCACACTCTCTTTGTCCTTGACTGCTGTGAAGACTAAGCTGATTAACCCTTCCCAGACCACTGCCCAGCCACCGCCTACAGTGGTCTCAGGCCTGACGGTCCATGTCGGTCAGGTCACTTGTGTCTCTCCTCAGTACCCACTGCTTGGCAATACACTGGGGCTAGACAGGATCTCCCCTGAGCTGGGTCTTGATGCAGCTTCATCTACAAAGGCAGGCTGAATCTTTGCAGGTAGAATGTATCCCCCAAAGTCTCTTCTGACTCCCACACCGCCTCAAATGCTCTCACCCTGCTATTTGCATTTTAGGGGGCTGCACCCAATTCCCTTCCCTGCTTGTCTTAAGCACCTGGAAGCCCCACCTGACACTCACCTTGCCCTTCTTGGGTGTCTCGATCTTGGTCAGGGCCTCCTTTGTGTGGGCCTCGAGCAAATCCAGGTTGGGGATGGTGGGGGAGCCTGTTTCTTTGCACTTCTTCCCTTTCTTCTTGCTGCTGTCAATCCTGAGGGTCTTGGGGGGTTTTGAGGGCTTGGAGAGCTTTGGGGGCTTGGGGATCTTGGATGGTTTGGGTATCTTCACAGTTTTGGGAGTCTTTTTTTTAGACACTTTTTCCAAGAGGGACTGAGATGGGGTGGTCTCAATGGGAGATGGGGGCTCTTCTTTTTCTCTGTCCACTTCACAAACTTCATCTGAGGATACCACAGCACTCACTTCGGGTCGGGCAGCTTTGGAGGTATTCTGGGGGTGGGGAGAGAGTCAGCTCCTCTCTCTATGCCTACCCTGCCTGGTCTCAGGCATAGACCTATCCACACCTGTACTCTACACCACAGCTGGGAGACCCTGCTGAGGGGCATGGTGGGAAGGGTTAGTCTGGGCAGTAGGGACTCCCTGAGCTGGGACATTAGGACACAGCCAAGCCTCCCCCTTCTCCCCAATCCTGGGATTGCCACCCAGGAAGGGCCCTACCTCGCTGAGCCTGATCTCTTTGGCAAGGTCTTTGATGAGCTGAGAAGGCTTGAAGTGCTCTGGGAGCTCATCCTCGTGCTCCGCCAAAGCCTGGAACACACCCAGTGCAGTGAACCCCCATGAGCCCATGTGAGTGCCCATGCCTGCCAGGCCACACCCTCCTGAGAGCCCATCATGCCTGGCCCATGTACCCACTGCAGCGCCATCTCCGGAAGGACCAGAGCAGCCCTGAATAAGCCCTCAGAAAGCCCACTCATCCTCAAACAGTCATGGGGCAAGCACTCGTATCACAATGCCAAAGTGAGAAAATGGAGCCAGAGAGGTTGAGTAACTAGCCCAAGGTCACACAGTTGGTGGGGATACAGCAAAATTCTAGCCTCAGAACTTGGCCTACCTGGGGCCTATATGTTCAGCTCCTAAGCAGGGACTCGGGACTTACTGGGCTGCAGGTGGTTAAGGCCCAATCAACTTCAGCCCAGGCCGGGCTCTGTTTCTCATACTAAGATATAGATACAAGGATCCTGGCCTAGGCTGCCAATGTACTTCCATCTCCTCAGTGAAAGCATCCTTACACTGACTGTGAACATGGGCTGAAATGCCTCTCTGTGCCACCCCCACCCCACCCCACAAGGAACAGGGCCAGGCACTGTCAAGAAAAGGTCCATTGAACCAGAACCTGTGGAGAAGGTACTGCTATGACTATGTGCTGTAATTGGGGAAACTGAGGCCCAGGGCATGAAGTTTACACAGCTCCCACATAAAGTTGAGGAGCAGAAGTCAGCCCCATGCCTTTTTATTAGGATGAGCTCATTCCACCTGACTATGTGGCTGAGATAAAATGGAATGGAACTTTGAGCTGCTCTAGGACATGGGCCCAGGAGAGACATAGCGGCTGCAGGCACTCAGGCCTAGGGGAGGAGGAGGCACTACCTGCCCTGCCTACCCCAGAAGGGTATCCAGGTGTTTTCCTGTATCATGCTCCGCCCCACCCCGCCAACCTGGTGATCAGGGAACCCTGAGCTGGCTCTAGTCCTTCACCCACCCTTAACTAGAAAGGAAACCCACTCCAAATCTGGGGGTGAATGGGACCAGGTACAGGTATTTCACCTGGGTAAAGGGGCCCTCTGCCAACTCCATGTAGCAGTAGTACCCATCCAATGGACTGACCCAGTCTCCAAATCCCTTAGTCCTCACTTCTCTGCCACTTTTCCTACCTGTTTCTTAGTCCATGCTCTGAAAGCACCATTGAGAATTTTAGCTCCTTGAATTAAGTGAGGAGGCAGCTGCTTCCCAGATTTGTGAGAACCTAGGGAAAGAGGGAAAGGAATAGGTAACTTAGGGAACTCTGCCCACCTCCTTGCTCCATCCGTGTAGCCTGAGGCTACTTCCAGCCCAGCCCTTGGTGGCAGCTGTAGCAGCAGCCAGAGTCTCTACCCCCAGAAGCTACCCAACTGGCAATGGTTCCTCTTGGAATCTAGGAAGGGCCTGCCCTCCACTTTCCTCCTGCATTGTCTTATCACCATCTGTGCCACTAAGACTCCAATGCAGGCAGTGGACCCTTCCCTCTCCTCTTGCCCTGTCAGTTTAGATAGAGGCCCACCCTTCCAGATTAGAATATCCTTTACCCACCCTTGGAACAGTGTAGAGGTAGATCTGAGAGCTGGTCTCCAAGTTGAGGAAGCCAAGCTTGTCCAGACAGTACCTCAGAGCAGTACCTGCAGAAGGTTCTGACATAGGCTTCCAATTCCCCAGCTCTACACAAATCCCAGCCACCTGACCTCTTCTTCTGGG